TCTCTCTCTCTCTCTCTCTCTCTCTCTCTCTCTCTCTCTCTCTCTCTCTCTCTCTCTCTCTCTCTCTCTCTCTCTCTCTCTCTCTCTGTGGCTTCGTCTCTGTTTTGCTCTCTGTTTCTTTCTTCCTACATCCTCTCTACCTCTCCTTGCTCCCCTTTCTATCCTCTCTGCTTTGTCTACGTCTTTTGTCCTCCTCTCCCGCTGTCCACTCTCTTCTGTTATCCCTCCTCAGTTTATATCCACCCTCACCCTCTTCACGTTTTGGTTAGTTTTGCACTTTTCCCAACACCGGGAAAGGTAATAGCGGTGGTTTAACCAAGCTTTACTATACAAGCTGGGATCCGCCGTCCCTCACAAGATATTGTCGTGTTCCCCCACTGAGAAGGCATCACCGTGGAAAAGACCGAAACTCAATCCTTTTCAAAGACTTGGCAAAAGATAAGAGATGACCAACATGTCACATGAAGTCTTCCTTCACAACACTAGATGCACAAAACAAGACAAGGACAGTGAGAGTTTACGGAGGCTGAAACCAGGACTCGGAGGTAGACTGCGAAGAACTCAAAGGGCGGGGGGGTGGAAGGAAAGGACGGAAAGGGAAGGGGGGGTGGGACGATAGACGAACATCCATAGGGAGAAAATGATAAGGGACTGACAGGTGACTGACGGCCCAGCAGGTAGGAAAGATTTATGAGGGCTGGGCAGTAGCCAGCTACTGTCACCCAACAGCAGGGGAGGTCAAGACACCAGGAAAGGGTTGCACATGCTTGGAAATGGGCTACAATTGGACAGCACTAAAGGGGAAGACAGAGACATACTAAGATAGGATGGAATAGGTTACAAACTTACAATATCCAGCAATCTCCAGGATTAGGGATGGGCCACATGATAAGAGTGAGCTCCCGAACGGGATGCCATTGGGCAATATTGGCAGCTCTATAGGAAAATGGGAGCTCTATCATAGGAAGAGCAAAGGCTTGGGATGGAGGGCTTCCACAAGGGCTTTTAGAAAGGGGAAAAAAAAAACAAGGACGGTGAGGAGGATGAGGGAAGAAAGGACAGAAAGAGAATTGAAGCGACAACGACAACCAACGTCTCGAAAGCGATCATATAGGATTAAACAGACATACAATGATCTCAACAGTCTCATCCCATCTGCACTCCATAGCTGCTACGAAAATAGACGACTCACATCGACATTGACTCCGAAAAACTACGGACAGTAGTGTGACCCGACATCGAAACGGTCGAGTATTATGTCGATCATCTTGAGTCAATGATGTCGCAAAGGAGGACGACAAAATCGTTAACAAAGCTTAAACCACCAGTACTTCCTAAAGTTGCGCCCGTTAACAATCCACAATTTAAAAAAAGCGTACGGCCACTACAGGAGCGCTCAAATTCATCCGACTAGAAATGTTTCTACTTTCTTTTTTTTGCGACCAATAGTTGGGCCAAGTACAGGTGGTTTAAGTAAGAAAATACAAGAGGGTAAAAAAACTCTAGATGTAATTCTCGCTCAAAAACCTTTGCCAGTACCAATACAACAACACGACAACCTAATTTTGACCCTGCAGACAACTTCAACATCAACAAGTTTTTTAGATTGTTCGAAAAAAAGTTCCTTAAAGTAGACCCAGTAGACCTCGGACCACATGACCAAATAACCAGGAAAAACAACAAAACAAGAATTATAGCCAACCAACAGAGACTAGACTGAGTGTCAACCTCAGAACAGGAGCGAAAATAGTGCCACGAGAAGTCAAGCAACCATAAACTTTAAGGCCAAGGATAGCCCATTATCAGGAAAAGAGGAATAAAAATTTTCGACACCAACAAAGAGTCTGAAAGGTATCTAAGAAACAGCTAGACTCAAGAACCAGGGATCAAAACTAGACAAAGAAAAAAAGTTAAACTAAACTAGAGGACGAAAACTTACAAAGACCACACCTGTATTTCCCACAACCATCATTCCCCGAACTAAAAAAGAAAACGGTAAAGAGACAATAAAAAAGTAGAAAAAAAAAAGAAGTTAAACAACTAATTGAACCTTTCTTATCTTGTCAAGCATTCAACCCAATCATCCCATAAATTTCCAAACTTCTTTGGAAAATTTATCAAAGCGTTGTCAGATAATTCATCAGGAAACCCTCTCATTTGCAGTTCTAACTTCAGGGTGAAGACAAAAGTCACTTGAGTTCTGGTCAAGGTATTGAAGTTTTTTTCCCAATGCAACCACGCCCTAATCACTACCATCTTTTGTTGCCTGCTCGTACAGTTGCAGTCATCCTATATATTAGCAAATTGCAATTTTCCGCACATACCTTTCATTTTTATGTAATGCAACACACACAACTATTGCAGGTCTCTCCTAGATACTCAAATCACACCCAAAAAAGTCCCAACAATCTCTATTACTATTACACTCCCAGCTTCAAATTGTTGTTTTAGTAGCACTTGAGAAAATTACCAAACACCGACCGCACCCTCCATCGGAGCGTATCATCCTTTTCAATCTCTTTTGTATTTATATCATTTATATATCTTGATTATTCTCGTTTCTATTTTTTATATCTTTAGTTATTAAGGAGCCGTATGAAATCAAAGTTTCATGTACGGTTCTGTAGTAGAGATAAAAATTATATTTTTTTATCAACTATAATTATGTAATACTTGCAAACCAAACAAACAGATACGTCATCGGCAATTCGAATGTTACGCACTAGCTTCCCATCCCGGCCTAAAGAAGAGTATACACAAAGTAAGCATCCTGGCGAAAGGTTGGATGATTTCCTCATTGGAATGTCTATCTTCTGATTGTATACATCTCCATATGCTTACAAATTATAACTCAATCTTTACATAGCACAAGATCAGGTCGAAGGAAATATGCATGAACCAATCCGACATCCTTCCCATCCATATCCGAGTTTCCTTCCCATGCTTATGCAAAATCACTCCCACATTTGCACCACATCTCCAAAAACGTGTTACTCACTCCATGAATTTTATAACTGTATCATGAGCGTTATCATAAAACATCACCTTGTTATTAAATGAAGCACTTAGAAATTGCTCCTCTTTTTGCAGATGCACAGGAACATTCTTCAATTTACTTGTCAATTCAATGATGTTTTTTATGTTAAAGTTTCGATTCTTCGACAACTTTCAAAGCAAGATATTCACCGTCTGCGTTATACATTTCTCTGTTGTCAGATTGACTTCATCATCTGAAGGGAAAATTGAATTTCACCGCTCCACATCCTTATGTTCGGGCAGACCATAACCGTTACTCAACAATCCTTTGCAATTCCACCTCCCTAGTCTCGTAAAACCCTTCTTTTTAGACTCCTTCTCAATTTCGGTCAATACCTCGTGCTCCGTTTCATAAAACATCTACAGACCATCGTTCTTCAAAAAAACTTATTCATCCCTTCGTGATCAACAACAAAACAACACATGATGGTGTCCCTGAGTTTA